AAATATATATCTCGTTTGATTAAAGAAAAGGATTAAATTTAAACTAATGCAAAAGGTAGCTTTGAAAACATGAGCACAAAGAAATTCATGCATCTGCCTAAATTATGAAGACAATGGCGAGCACTTTGGATTTTATGGTACGAAAATGGATATGTGTTTATCCATCTAGTTATACTATCAATTAAAGATGTGGAATTAAGCCACTTGGGATGCCCTGAATTCATGTAGATACATAACTCATCATTCTATCATGTGAGCTTTTATATAGATATAAATAATCTCTTCATATAAAATTCTTAACTTATGAAAATAATTATTTTATTTTCATAACATAACATAACATAATATATATATATATATATATATGGCCCTTTAGAAGTTCTCTAAGCATTCAAATAGGTGTTTTTATTTGATATCTTATACCATTAATCTTGGACCATGTTTGGAAGATAGGTAAGACATGTTTTTTTCTTGAGAGAGATGGATAGATGAGCAATTAATTAGATATATATTTTGACGCAGCAAACCTTCAAATCTAATAGCAAAGGATCTAATAATCTCGAACCAATCTTTTGTGAGATTGCAGGAAGAGCAAATGTAATTATATTAGTATCTACATTGATTTCTTGTGTAATAATAAGTGAAGAACACGTACATTGAAACCATAATTTCAGACTCGAGCTTCGAATTCTTGTCTTGAAATGCCTTTCATAAGTTTTTAGCGTTTAAATAGGTGGTTTATATTTGTTATCTCACACCATTAATCTTTGCCTATTTTTGGAATGTGAGTTATTTTTTTTTTATTTCCATGTATTTTAAAAATATAATATATTCAAGCACGCTTAATTACTTTGTATAAGCTCATCTTATTTTCTTGATAGTTATGGATCATTTTCTTCTTCTTATCAGCACTCTAAAGAGGGGCTGAAGGCCCTTTCAATACAAAATGGAAAGCCCAGGTGTATTCAAGTTCAATATTTCTCTGTTTTTTCATGAAACCTTTAGATTAAATTCAAGTGTTTAATTTGAAGTAAATTAATTTATTAATTAAATTCACCAATTAAAAAGATATAATTCAATTCATTTTGTTTTTCATATTACTCTGTCACATTCACATTATTTCTTCAAATACCCCTATCTTTTATATTTCTTTGCTTGGTTTTACTATTTGATTTTTGTTAAATAATAAAATAAAAAGTTTGTGGTGGAAAATTCACACAAACGACACAATAACATAAAAAACATAGAGAGAGATAGAATTGCCGGAGAAGTCCATCCCACCAGCCACCACCAACCTCCACACACACCATGCCATCTTGTCCGCCACCACCCTCACAACCTGACTGGCCTGTGGAATCCTTTTCTTTCACTATAAATGGTTACTCTAATTTATTTATTTTTTTTAATGTTCTCATCACCCTGAATTCAATGGCATAATCCATTCATGATTTCAACTAATAATTACCAACTTTATATTTTACGATGACAAAACAAAATTATATTTATTTTAATTTTATCTCAATTAAAAATATTTGAGCTTAAATTGAACATCAAGAAATCTAAGAATGACTAAAGTGAGATAATGTGAGTGTTTGAGAGAGAAATGAAAAAAACTGGAGGCCAAAGGAGTGGAGAGAGAATAATAAATAAAAAAACGTCATTGTTTCAGAGGTTTTTTTTTTTTTAAATCATAGTTAGAATTAACTTCTAGACTTGCAAGTCATTTACTCAAGGATATCACGGTTTAGAAATATAATATTTTAATAACATCATGGCTTTAAAACGTGATGTTTCATTAATATCAAGAATTTTCATTCATTTTATTAAAGGTTGGTCTCGCCACCAATTTAGTTGTGATGGTCACCTAAGTGGAGCTTTCTTAGTAGATGTTTCATCTTCGACATCAATCATTAACAAAAATAAATTAATTTTCTTAAAAAGATGAGTAGATAACATTTTTTTAAAAAAAATATTTTTAACATTAATTACATTTGATTTATTTATATATCATTTTTAGAAATTAAATATCATTTGAAATTCAATTATTGAGATTAAAAATAGTTCCAAACATAAAATTTTAATAAAACCACTAAATTAAATGTAATTGTTGAAATTCTATAGCTTTATTGATAAGCATGTTTATTTGGAGTACAGAACTGGCCTGATATGGAGGTAATACAAGCATTTAAACCCATATTGAGAATCGAAAAAAATACAGGCATATCTGCGAACACATTATGTACTCTCTCTCTCTCTCTCTAAATGAACTTTTTACCATAAAATGAAATCTCCCTCCTCCCTCTTTAATAATAATAATAATAATGAAATATTAAATCATCTTGAGGTTCCAAGGGTCATTTTTGAATTATGAAAACATCACAACTAATAAAAAAAAATATAACCTAAAAATATTTAATCACGTGGAAATAAAAATCGACAGAAAGATAGATTAAAAATACAAAAAAGAATTTAAACACAAATTTGGTGCAATTAAATATAAAGATTGATTGAACATAACACCTAAAATATACAGAGATGGAGTGAAATGAAAAAAAAAAAAAAAAAGGAAACAAAAGGCCTAGATAGATCCAGGAAAAAATAAAATCCTCACCACTACAACCTCTATCTCCGTAATTAAATATATTTTTAATTTTTTAAAAAAGAATTGTGTTTTTTTAAAAAAAGAGTAATCATGCTACGTACTTTGTAGCATTCTTCAGCTATACCATCACAGTAAATTTGGTCTTTTTTGTTTTTATATTTTAAAAATATATTTTTTTAATTTCAAATTAATATTCTTTTTTATATTTTTAGATTATTTTATGGAATCTATCTATCACATTTTACTGTAACATCTCTGAAATAAAATAAACCCATAATGCTTAAAAGAAGAAGTGGTAATGTAGGAGCACTCATTTGGGATCTAGGTGGATGCCCTTTGCCTTCACTTTTCCCAATGCCTTTTTTACCGTTCCCTCATGTACCAAATTAAATATTAAAAAAAATTAACCATTACCTCTTAGAAGTGGTGATTATTATTTTTTTTTTCTAAAAAAATAATTAAATTAAATTTAAAAAAAAAACTAAAATTAATTCAATGGAGTAATTTTGGTTTAATTTAATTTAATTTTTTAATAACAAAAAAATTTATTCAAAAAAATAACCAAATTAAATATTAAAAAAAATTAACCAATTTTAGTTTAATTTAATTCAATTTTTTAATAATAAAAACTCAAATCAGATTGATTCGATTTTTTTAATTGGACTCGATTTTAGCTCAGGTTTTTTCTAAAATTAATTCAATGGAGTAATTTTGGTTTAATTTAATTTAATTTTTTAATAACAAAAAAATTTATTCAAAAAAATAACCAAATTAAATATTAAAAAAAATTAACCAATTTTAGTTTAATTTAATTCAATTTTTTAATAATAAAAACTAGTTTAAATCAAACTCGAATTTTTCAATTGGACTCGATTTTAGCTCAGGTTTTTTAGATTTAACTTGATTTTTTCTAGCTTGACTTGTTTTTTCTGATTTTTTTGTTTGGTTTAAATTTGATTTGTTTTTTCAATTTTAAACTTATAAAACCAAAACCGGTCAATTTTTTTAAAATTTTAATTTAAATCAAACTCGAATTTTTCAATTGGACTCGATTTTAGCTCAGGTTTTTTAGATTTAACTTGATTTTTTCTAGCTTGACTTGTTTTTTCTGATTTTTTTTGTTTGGTTTAAATTTGATTTATTTTTTCAATTTCAAACTTATAAAACCAAAACCAAACCGATCAATTTTTTCAAAATTTTAATCAATTTATCAATTTTTTTTCACGGTTTGATTTTTTTTCTAGTTTTCTTAATTTAATTAATTTTTCAATTTTTTTTCTCACCCCCTGTCTACTCTATTAGAGACTAGAGAATATACCATCTCTGCTCTATTTTGGATGAGTAAAAAGACACAAAGACCTACTTTGGATGAGTAAAAAAACGCAGACCAGAAAAATAATTAACAAAGAAACCAAACCAAAAAAAAAAAATCCAATTCAATTTTTAATGTCTAAACTCAAGGACTGAACCAAACTGGTTCAATCAATACTTGATTGAAACATAATATAAATACTCAATTTTCTTCCTAACTCTAACCTAAACCAAACCAGCCTCCAGAGTCCAGACCCCCCAACTTTGTCTATGCCTCTCATCTCTCCCAATTCCCAACCCTATATCTAACCAGAAAGTAGTTTTCAGCATCTGAAAATAATCACCTTTTTCATGTTTAAGTAGAGAAGGTTCCAGCCAAATATCATTAGTCATGAAATTGATTGTTCTTAGATTTGCACGTACATGGTATTGATAATGCTATTCATTCAAACGTTTGTTCCCAACCCTAAATCTAACCTGAAAGTAGTTTTCAGCATCTGAAAATAATCACCTTTTTCATGTTTAAGTAGAGAAGGCTCCA